TCCTGTCCTGTCCCTGGACGCTCTCTCTCTCTCTATATATATACATGTACTATGATTATATCCAGCTAGCCATGTAAAGCCGGTTACGTCACAACTCTCGGGCTCTCAGCCGTAAGGTCACGGGTTCGATCCAGTCAGGGGCCCGACGTAGTGTTCCCGGGAAAGGCACACTTTAACCTCTTTTACTCAGCTGTAGCCTGCACGGACTTTCCTCACTTCACGCTGGCGGGAATGGGTACCCGACTCTTACTACAAGTATTACAGCAGACAGCGACATAACTTGTTCGTTTGTGTTAGTATTTTATTTAGCGCATGTAACGCGCAACATACGAAGGCCACACCAACAGTTTGTTTGATCTCACCATGAAGGAATAAAGGTAGAAGAAAGCTGACATTTGGTCCTAACCTGTATCTTTCTCTATGTACTCGCCTTCCACAGAGATACAGTTTTGCCATCGGTGTATGACCTTGAAAAGACCTCTTGAGAATAGAAGACCCTCTCTTTGTCCAAAAACCAGCCCTCGACCGCTTCTTTGACCTCATTTTCACTTTCAAAATGCCTTCCTTTTAAATCCTTTTTCAGTTTGGGGAATAAAACAAGTAGAATGGGGCTAAATCTGATGAATAAGGTGGATATGGCAAAATTGTATAGCCACATTCTCGAGCAGCTTTGGCCACTTTTCTTGGAGTGTGTGCCGCACGTTTCCATGAAGCAGCAAATTCCTGTGCGTTTCCACCGGGGTTTTACGTTTTTCTTTAATTTTAATAGCCTCTCGTAATTTTTTTAAAGCTGGTGAGAACAATGGTCTCCATCCGGTGATCGTATGTCCATTTTCAAGATAAACTGTCATAAATCACTCCATCTTAGTCCCCCCAAAAATGATAGCACCACTAGGGTGTGCTAAATCCTTACAATATTCTGCACACTCACATAATTTGATTGAAAACTTATGATAACAAAAATTATGGACGATTTAAGACAACATAATTGGCCTTTATTCTGAAATAAGAATAAAAATGAACACGAATGTTTTTCGCATATATGGTAGAGCAATACCCGTACTTTCCATAATAGATCAGTCACAGTTACAATGCATATACCTGTCCCCGTCGTTTTATGCAAGAAAAATTCTGAAATTATGCAAACTGAGCCCAAAAATGTGAAATTATGCGATCTGTTAATTTTAACAAAGAGAATGATAAAGGAAAATAATCAGAAATTATGCAAAAAATTATCAAAATTTGCTAAATTATGCGGGGTGCATAAAATTACGGGGACAAATATATATATATATATATATAG